CACCATATGCCCGTCCTTTTCTAAAACGGTTGAAGATGGTCACTAGTTAGTATGCGTTGGAGGAATGGATGTCTCCTTTCGGATATGCAGGGCCCCCTGAGAGCATGGACACACTGCCTGCCATGATGCCATAGCTTGGGCTGTGATCACATTGATCACTTTGCTGTGAAAGGCATGCCCATACTGTGTGCAGGGCCATGACACATGATGACAGTTCTTTATGGCAGCTGGGATGCGATTCCTTCTGTTTTTTTGTCGCCCTTGCACATCGGGCATGCTACTCTTCTCTGTATCGTACTATTGTTCCCATTTTAACGGATGTCCTGAAGGACAGCTGGGATGCGATTCTTTTCACAGTGGAATGAGGTTCTTTGTGACAGGCTATGACAGCTGGAATGTGATTCCCTGTGTAAGACAGGAAGAGGCATGGGTACCTTTCTGCCCCTGATTCATGCTATATAGTGCATGGATGCTACAACATTTTGTCTGATGATCAAGGACACTGGGCTATAGCAAGAGTTTTGCAGGATCTTTGTCAAAACCATCAGGGCCCATTGGACTTTAATGAAGTTTAATCTGTGTGTCATCCCCTTGTGCAGGGGCCATGCTTATCTTCTCTGTATTGTTCCAATTTTGATGCACGTCCTGAAGAACTAGGTGAAAAAACTGACGATGCATCTGACCACCAGATAGCTACGAGGGGATTTACACACATCTTCCAATGTCCTCCGTGTAGCTTCAGTATGGCAACATCCGTGGCGTCCATTTTTATAATGACCTAAGCTGCAGCATAGGGCCAAGTTGAACCCCTTTTATCAGGTGTTATGTTGGCGTTTAGTTTGGAGTGAACCTGGTCACAAAAATCTCCGAGGTTCGCGCTCGCTTAGTGCAAACATGCCATCACTGGGGTCACAACGATACCAAAAAAATGAGATGTGGCTAGCCCTAGGTAGTAAGCTTGCCATTGCCGCCTCCTGGACATCCCAACGTAAGTACGTCCTAACTGTCCCTGAGACCACCGTCTTCCATCCGAATGCAACGCACCCTCGTTATTATGGTTGTACGGCACCGGAAAGATAGCTTGTATACATCCATTATCGGGGTGCGTTGTGTTCGGGGCAGTCTGTTACTACAGTATGCTTCAAGACAACGGTCTTCGCTACGTAGCAAGTAGCATGCATGCATGCAGTGACAGGCTGACAGCAACCCCCTGCAACATGGACTGTGCTTCATGGTGACAATGTAGAAACATAGGGTAACTGCTAGCACTGCAGGGAGTGGTGGTTTTAATTTAAAAAAAAAAAAAAAAAAAGCATGCCCTTGGAGTTAGCTACAGCATAAGGGCAATGTAGCATGCAGTGTGCGCAAGTGGAGGTGTTCCCTAGGCGAGTTCCGGGCAGAAATCTCGGCCCGCTACATGCACTGTCTCATACTGGCAATAAGCAGTACCAAGCACTGTGACAATGCCGGCCCCCAGCTACAGGAGAATATCATGCACAATTACAACGCTCTTAGCCGCAAAGCGTGAGCTTAAACCAGTAGTACGTCCGCCAGTGTTGGGAAAATAGGGAAAACTGGCAGTCGTTTCGTTTTGGCGTCCTAAAAAATCGGAGGCTGGGCCCAACGACAGCTGCCATTGAGAAATCTGATCGGCGGCCGTTCGTTTCGTTTCAGCCTCCTGAAAGGTTGCAGGCCCACCCGAGGCCCGCTATTTACCCACTCGGCAAAGGTACTCGTGGTACAGTCTCCTGCCATTTTGAATCATAAATTTCAAGGGCTTGACCTTAGTACCTTCGGACAGGAGCCAATCCAGCCAGCCATCTAAATGCCAGGAGGTGCAAAAAAAAATAAAATAAAAAATAAAAAATGGAGGTGCACTGGTGGGGAATTACGGTAAGGGAGGTGATCTGCTCCCTTCAGTGACCAAAAAGCAAACAATCTTGACCCCATACATCCCTCTGCCTGGCAAGGGAAAAGGGGCCCAGGGTGGCAGGGGTAGTGGCCTCTGACATGCTTTATGGTGTGATACAGAATTCCAAATCCAAGGGGTGCATGGGTGGAGGAATTAAGAGGGGTATGATCTACTGTGGCAACAAGGAGGTTGCCGATATCACTAAGGGGGGCCAGGATTGCATAATACTATGCCCTCTCTACCTAGAACGGCAGTGGGGAGTTAGAATGCCTATCAATGCGGAGACAAGGGCAATGCGATGGACTGGGTTCAAAATCCGCTGAGACATAGGCCAAAAAAAAAAAAAAAAAAAAAAAAAGTCCTTCGGGACATCCGTTAAAATTGGAACGATACAGAGAAGATTAGCATGGCCCCTGCACAAGGATGACACGCATAAATCGAGAAATGGTCCAAAAAAAAAAAAAAAAAAAAAAGAGTGTTGTAACTTTTGGTCGAAGTCAAGATTCGTGTCGCTACACCTTCCTTCCCCCGAGCATAACGCATATGCGTTGGATTCGAGTTTCAAAATATGAACAATAATCGAGCAGGACGCGTACGCGTTGTATTCGAAAGTAAGGGGTATTCGAATAGAAATCGTGAGTGTTGTATTCGAATAGAACGCACCCCATGTGTTCTATTTGTTTACGACGCATATGCGTCATGTTCGGGGGAAGAAGGTAGTCCTAAAAGGGCATTATTCGAATAGAAGGGACCTTATGCATTGTATTTGTTCACACCGCATATGCGTTATGTTCAGGGCAAGAGAAGGTAGTCCTACTATCCAACCCTCTTTTTTTTTCACTTTTTGAGGCTATCTCTATGGATTTTAGACCAGGATGTAGACCAAGTTTGTCCCTACTGTGGTTCAGAGAGTCTGACTTTTGTTGTCTTCGAATCTTTGCAGTGGCTCAGCCCTTGAGTCGCAGGCTCTCGTCCGTTTGTCCTCTCAAAGGAGCTTCTGTTTGATAATCCTCACAGAGGCTCGGGCCTTCCAGCGGCAGGGTATCCTCTGTCCCCTACTCGAACTTGTTCCGCTGAATGACTCGCTCTCGTCTGAGACTGTCTGAGCCGATGCATTATTCGCTGACCGGCCGTGGTGGCAGAGGTATGGCAATCCTAACACCTGCCACGGTGACCGCGGACAGTCAACAAATAATGGGGTGACGCAGTTCCATGGGGTGACGCAGTTCCATGGGTTGACGCAGTTCCATGGGGTGACCCAGTTTTACCCGTGACCTCATATTGAGGATGACAATAAGACTGTCACTACTTTTCTGCATGGACTCAACGGGGATAATAAACCTGAACTTGCTGAAGTGGACGATACCCCGGGATAGACAAGCGCAGCTTACCTTTGCTCTCTCTCTATACAAATCTACGTACCTGTCCCACTGACCACAGAGTCTCCCCTTTATTCACCCCCTCGTTCTTGCTGTCTCTTGTTTTTTTTTTTGGACCATTTCTCGATTTATGCGTGTCATCCTTGCGCAGGGGCCATGCTAATCTTCTCTGTATCGTTCCAATTTTAACGGATGTCCCGAAGGAC